TCTAATTTACCGGTGAAAGCCAAAGGAGTGTTGTTAATTAGTCCAACGAGGTTTTCATTCTCTTCATATCATGTGTTAAGTTATTCTTTAACTAGTCCATATATTTTAAGCGGATCGGACTGGCAGAGCGCGCATTTAGCCTTAAATCATTCATTATTAGCGTAATATCCCTAGAAGCGAAAACTTAAAAGAAAATCGTATTCTTAAATCTTTAATATTTCCCCATTGTAAAAATGCCACTTTTTAAGCGAAAATTATCAGCAAATAATATTTTTTTAGAACAGGCCTTAATCCATGAGAAAGTATCTCTCGTGAGCAATATTGATTATATAGACTCTGATTCTGATGTAAACGATCAGAATGAATCACATTTCTTTTCGGTAATATGGTCAGGTAATAGTAAGTCCCTCACCTGCAGCTTTAGCGAGCTTCCCCATTGGTTGCAGGATAATGTCGATATTCTTAAAGGTACAAAATGATGTAATTGTTAGGCTTTAATTGTTTTACTTGCAGATGATTTTATAGCCCTTTTTGTATAGGTTATCGACGACCGACCTTTTCATATATAAAATGCCTGCAGTCCCTATTTTATCTTCATAATGAAAGTGGTGTGTATTATATCATTTGTTTCAACGATTTCAACTGTGATAGCTCGTTTGTAACATTGCACTAATCGTGATCTGCTACTTATGTTTTAAAGTCAACATCTGGTCTCACCTTATGGGTGGGCTTGTATTCACACTTTTCTCTGTCATAACATATTTTTATATGTCGACCCATCCTTCAATAAATTGGTGGGATTTCTTTGCTTTGTATTGTTTTTTGATGGGCGCGTTAACTTGCCTTTTCCTTTCGGCGATGTTTCATACTTTTTCCTGTCACTCGGAAACGGTAAAAAACATTCATACCTGAAAACTGCGTGATCAGAGCCTTAAATCGTATAATAACTTGTCATTATGTTGATGTAATATGTAGGTCTGCGCGAATTGGAATAGATGTGATTATGTTGGGATAGTATTCTTAATCGTGTAAGCGTAATTCTATAATTTTATAATAGCTTCCTTCACGATGTTGATCCTTTTTTTATAGTTAATCTTCTGATAAATTGTTTTTATTAGCGGATCCGATATTTCTATAGTATACTATGGTAATTTGCTTCTCCCAAAATTCAATTCACCTCTTATCGTAATTTTATTAATTTAGTTTTTGGGTTGACTTACTATCATTTGCAGCATTTTATTGTCAAAAAATATTAATGACCTTTTATATCACGTTGCTTTGTGTTCTTGGATGTGCCACGGTCTGTAAAATAGTTTTTTTTTTTTATCTTTTTTTTTCTGATTTCATCCTATTAATTTAATTTATACCATATAGATTTATGTAACTATTCCCGTACGATTTCGAACACCTGAATTCCGATTGTTTCGTGCTGGATTATTCGCTTCATTAGGTTTTTAATATTTATCTTTAATTATGTGAAAACATTTGATGATTTGCTGATAAATTTATTTTTGTATTTTAAATCAAATCTTGAATGCTTGGACGTTACCATATAAAGGTGCTAGCGCTTGCTTTCCAGTCCTACATGCTATTATTTTATATGGGGTACTTTATCATTTCGTTCATATTTTTAATGCTATTAATCCATCCGCTAACATAAACATTTTTATTTATATTTATAGCTACAATTGTGCAATGATGTCATTTCTCTTAAATGGATGTTATTAACTGGTTTCAGTTATTTGGTTGGTGCAGTTTTTTATGGTGCCAGGTATGCATTAATTGAAAAAATCTATTTGTGATTCTATACACTTATTTACACTTATTTATATAATATTATCATAAACAGGATACCTGAAAGATTTTTTCCCGGATCATTTGACATATGGTTAGGCACAATTTTAATATTTATTTCTAATTGTTAGTTACGATTATGAGGTGTATAAATAACATTTTTATTTCGTAATACGCAGGGGACATTCACATCAAATTTTTCATTTCTTGGTGGTTTTCGCTTCACTATCATATTATTATGGTCTCACTCAGGCGATGTCATACTGGCATGAAAATAATCATGAATGCAATGTTGACATTGGATCAATGAAAATCCGACAGCCATTTATATAGATGTATAATATTATATGAAAAATAGAATGTGCATTTAAATTTTCATAACATTTATAAATGCAAGAATTATTTTAAAATCTTATTACATAAGTATTAGTATCATCTTATCGAATAGAAAAATAGAAATAAATTTTAATTTTTTTTTTAAAAAAAAAAACAATAAAAAACTAGACTGAGAAAACTTTTGTAACTTAAAATCCTAAAATGGCTAAAAATAATCTACGCTATTTTGATATTACATTCTAGTTCGTACTGCGAGAGGTCAATAATGAAATAGCATATTTACTTCATGCCAGGATATTCTTTATAAAAATACATTACTTTTGCAAAAATAAATATTTTTTAGCATTTTATTACTATAATTTAATTTTATAAATATGAGGGGTATCAATAGAAACCAAGCAAATTGTTTTTTAAATAAATTTTTTTTAACTTAAAATATCTTAACTATTAAACCAAACTTGATAAATATTTTTTATTTTAATTCTATAACTACATAGAATTAAAATAAAAAATATTTATCAAGTTTGGTTTAATAATTGTTGAGATATTTTAAGTTAAAAAAAAAAATTTACATAAAAAACAATTTGCTTGGTTTCTATTGACACCCCCCCATATATTTGCCAATTATTATGAAATAATTTTTAATAAATTGTTAAAAACCGTTAATATAGTACTAATAATATGGCTTAAAATTGTAATATTTGCAAAATTTAAATTTTAAAATTTTGCAAAATTATTTTAACATTTACTATATAAAATAAAAGACAATAGCTTCATTTCGCTAACCAGACTTGGTTCCCAGTAAAAATTTGTCATTCTCATTTGTTATATTATCTAAATTAG